ACTATAATAATACTAGTATAATAATGCTACTATAATAATGCTACTATAATAATGCTACTATAATAATGCTACTATAATAATGCTACTATAATAATACTACTATGATAACACTACTATAATAATGCTACTATAATAATACTACTATAATAATGCTACTATAAAAATGCTACTATAATAATGCTACTATGATAATACTACTATAATAATGCTACTATAATACTACTTCTATAATAATACTACTATAATAATGCTACTATAATAATGCTACTATGATAATACTACTATAATAAGACTACTATAATAATACTACTATAATATTACTACTATAATAATGCTACTATAATAATAATAATAATACTATGATAATACTACTACAATAATACTACTATAATAATACTATTATGATAAAAATACTATGATAATACTACTATAATAATACTACTATAATAATGCTACTATAATAATAATAATAATACTATGATAATACTACTATAATAATACTACTATAATAATGCAACTATAATAATGCTACTAACAAATAATAATACTAACAAAAGGTGCAGATCAGATTTAGCTTGGATTATTATTGGATTATTTTAGGACTAGCTGTTTATAATAAAATACTGTGAGTACATTTGATAACAATATGAATTAGACAAATAAAACAAAGTCAAATTATTTTTTTTTTTTAATTTTAATTAAAAAAATTCAATAATTCACAACACAATAAAATCACCTAATTTTTGGGTGCATTTTAAATTGATGTTTTATTGCTTCAAAGTGGAATATTTAAATATTTTCTCCAAAGGATGGAGGTGAGAGTGTGACCTGACTTCTTCAAGGCCACCTTGGTTTTCTGCATTGCGGAAAATATCTTCTAAATAGACCGCACTGCTAACTGGACCGCACTGCTAGCTAGACCACACTGCTAACTAGACCACACTGCTAACTAAACCACACTGCTAACGAGACCACGCTGCTAACTGGACCACACTGCTAACTGGACCACGCTGCTAACTGGACCACGATGCTAATGAGACCAGGCTGCTAACGAGACCACACAGCTAACTGGACCACACTGCTAAATGGACCACACTGCTAACTCGACCACACTGCTAACTGGACCACGCTGCTAACGAGACCATGCTGCTAAGTGGACCGCACTGCCAAATGGACCACACTGCTAACTGGACCACACTGCTAACTGGACCACACTGCTAACGAGACCTTGCTGCTAACTGGACCACACTGCTAAATGGACCACACTGCTAACTGGACGACACTGCTAACTGGACCACACTGCTAACTGGACTACAGTGCTAACTGGACCACGCTGCTAACTGGACCACACTGCTAAATGACCACACTGCTAACAGGACCACACTGCAAACAAGACCATGCTGCTAACAGGATGACGCTACTAACAGAACTATGCTCCTAACAAGACCATGCTGCTAACAAAACCACCCTGCTACAGGATCATGCTGCTAACAGAATGATGCTACTAACAGAACCATGCTGCTAACAAGATCATGCTGCTAACAGCACTATGCTCCCTACAAGACCTTGCTGCTAACAAAACCACACTGTTACAGGATCATGCTGCTAACAGGATGATGCTACTAACAGAACCATGCTGCTAACAGGATCATGCTGCTAACAGAAATATGCTCCTAACAAGACCATGCTGCTAACAGAACCACACTGCTAACAGGATCATGCTGCTAACAGGATGATGCTGCTAACAGGATCATGCTTCTAACAGGACCATGCTACTAACAGAACGACACTGCTAACAGGATCATGCTACTAACAGGATCATGCTTCTAACAGGACCACACTGCTAACTGGACCACACTGCTAACGAGTCCACGCTGCTAACTAGACCACACTGCTAACTGGACCATGCTGCTAACTGGACCATGCTGCTAATGAGACCAGGCTGCTAACGAGACCATGCAGCTAACTGGACCACACTGCTAAATGGACCACACTGCTAACTCGACCACACTGCTAACGAGACCATGCTGCTAAGTGGACCACACTGCCAAATGGACCACACTGCTAACTGGACCACACTGCTAACTGGACCACACTGCTAACTGGAACACACTGCTAAATGGACCACACTGCTAACTGGACCACACTGCTAACTGGACCAAGCTGCTAACTGGACCACACTGCTAACTGGACCACACTGCTAACTGTACCACACTGCTAACGGGACCACACTGCTAACTGGACCATACTGCTAACTGGACCATGCTACTAACTGGACCACACTGCTAACTGGACCACACTGCTAAATGGACCACGCTGCTAACTGGACTACACTGCTAACTGGACCACACTGCTAACTGGACAACACTTCTAATTGGACCACACTGCTAAATGGACCACACTGCAAAAAGAACCATGCTGCTAAATGGACCACACTGCTAACAGAACCATGCTGCTAACTGGACCACACTGCTAAATGGTTCACACTGCTAACTGGACCACACTGCTAAATGGACCACACTGCTAAATGGACCACACTGCTAACTGGACCACGCTGCTAACTGGACCACACTGCTAAATGGGCCAAGCTACTAACAGGATCATGTTATTAACTGGACCACGCTGCTAAAAGGATCATGCTGCTAACAAAACCATGCTACTAACAGGATCATGCTGCTAACAAGACCGTGCTGCTAACAGAACCACACTGCTAACAGGATCATGCTTCTAACAGGACCATGCTTCTAAAAGGACCACACTGCAAACAAGACCATGCTACTAACAGGATCACGCTGCTAACGAGACCACGCTGCTAACTGGACCACACTGCTAAATGGACCACACTGCTAAC